AAACGAGAGAATCGAATCAAAGAAAGCTATCCCGTTTTTTCCCTTTTTTTCAAACGCGGTACCCATTATAAGCTCACGTTAACTATCGCGTTTTAATTAACCTTGCGAGGGCGGACACGTAATGGTTCGGCAATTGGCATACTTTACGCGAAATTTTTTTTCTCTCTTCTCGATTCGACGAGGATGGGGAAGATCGTCGATTTCTCACAATACATTCAATTGAAATATTACAATTTTGGGCACAAAATTTCTGTTTATATTATTTATCAACGCTGCAATGCGTTCAACCGGTGATGGTGTGTTTCTGACTTTTCTGAGGCTGTGTTCCAAAATTCACTGCCAGTGCTGAAAATCTGTAGTGCACGTAACATAAATTATATACTTTTAGTGAATTTTGGAACACAGCCTGAATAGCGTAGTTTAAGCCTTAAACACAATGAAACGAAATAGATAACAGGGAACAAAGAATAAGAATTTTACCTTATCAGAAACCTTCTGTATTCCATAGTATACGGTTTCTGGTAGGTTGAAATTCTTATTCTCTATTCCACCTGTTCTCTATTCCTTTTCATGTTCAAGGCTTTACTCGCGCATGCACAGCAAATGCAGTAATATGCAGTAGCGTAAACGTAAAATGTATGTGAGATAACGTAGAGTAGAGATGAGCAAAAATCATTGATATTTAGAAAATATCTATATTCACTTATTGATGTTTCGATGTTTTCTGCCATCGCAGATTTCCTATACATCAATGTTTCATCGATATTTTGTCTTTGATGTTTTGATTTTTACGTATAATTTATTATTAACAGCAAATCGGTTGGATGCACTAGTGCATGGGCACTCAAAATCAGTGCACATTAAAATTGTTGCAGACAAATTAACATACAGATTGTTTAATATAAATAGAAACGTTTAAATCGCGCAATTTTTAATAATACTTTATTATTTTATTTTATAAAATATGTATATTGAACATTTTATTATTCGAGACATTTTACTTTTACATTTATATTTAGAACAGTTATATTTAGAACAATGGCATTAATGTGCACTAAGAGCGCGTCCAATCGAATTCGCTTTAAAGTATAAAGACTACGTAACTATAAGTCCTGATTTACAATTAATAGATGTAAGCCGTAATAAATTGACCAATTATAATCGATTATTCTTGATTATTTTATGTACGACAACTAGCTTTAAACATTAATTTGTTAATCCGTCCCAGCATTATTAAATATTAAAAGAAAAATTACATTATTAAATATTTTCTTTTTCTATTCGATTTCCACTTCTATTAACATAAATGTTTATATATTTTGATTAAATATATTTTTGAGTACGTTATTTATTATGAATTAAGTTTTATTTTAAAGAAATAAAAAATCATTGATGTTTTATAAGCGATAGATGATTTTCAAATATTGTTAATAAGTTTCGATGCTACAGCATTGATGTTAAACATCGATGTCATTGACTGCGTTCAGCAGAAAAAGCGGTTTTGTGTGCAACTGTTAAAATAAAATTCTTTAATATGGATGGATTTATACATTAAAATTCATGAAGAACTAAGGGCAAGAATCAATCATTTTGAAGAATCTTACAACAGCTGCAAAGCTGTTTCTCTGCTGAACGTAGCGTATGATTGGCTTATTGCGATTTGTTTATTGCGTTTATCTTTAAAATGATCACGCATGCGTAAAAGGATACACGGCGGGAAACACTGCACAACCGCTACAATCAAAATTATCGGCGGCTTCGTATCTCGTTAGGAAATATGAAACTGACATCTTGTCAAGGCTACGGTTCGATTGATGCTCTAAATCCTTCGAGGCATTCTTCAATTGATTAATTAGTAAAATTCTTTCTTCTGGCTGGTCAATCAAATGCTTCGAAGCATTTGTGGCTCGCACAAGTGGATTGCACAAATTAAACAAATTAAACAATTAGTTATCATTGTCAGATATGATTCTCGATCAACGGCATATATTTTAATGCCTAAATTTGACTGAAAAGATTCCACATGACGGTTACGATTTAATATCCTATACATATAACAATACCCGCTATTATCCCTTTCAACAATCGAGATGTGTAAGAAGAAAAGAAAAAAATATATTTCACGAGTTAATATCGTGGCTCAATATTACTGAATTTATGTACTTTAGAAAAAGTAAAATATATAATGTATTATAAAATATATACATATGTATAATGTATTATATTGTTTTTTATTAAATGATTATAATAATTAAAAATATATTTTTTTTAACTGAAAAGTATCAAGAAACATTTATTGTCTAAATATTTATTTAACCAACTAATTTTTAATAATTAATTACAACGTATGATCATTATTGTGTACTAATTTCTTATGATAGTATCAGAATTAATTACAATTAAGTACAATTACATTTTTCTAATTTAATTTTATTGCATTAGTGAGTTCTTGTACACAATAATTTTTCTTAAATTTTTAGATAACGATAATATAATTTTTATGATATACTGTATATAACAGATTTCGAATTATTTATATTATATACAGCGTGATAATTAAGAATTTCTGAAATTATAAATAGTTGTTATCTTGTTGTGAATAAACAGAATTATAAACTAATTATAAACTTTTCATGTGTTAAATAGCAAAAGATTAATAATTCTGCCTATGTTAATTGAATATAATATATTTGATCAACACACTTTTTTTAGAAATGGACTACCAAATTTTTGTTTTATAGAAGGTAAATAAATGAAAGATTTGCACGCGATTTTATCCGCCGCTATCAAAAGACGATATTCGATGCTTTCGCGACCCCATTGCTTCCAAAAAAGAAAAAATCAGCACGAATCAGCAGTAACGCGCGGAATCAATGTACCATAAATCCTCGGCGGGGGGAGAGTTACATGGCGCGAGAGAGCGAACGCGTTCGCTTCCGGTTCTTCATCTCGTCCGCCCTTTCGCCGCCGTCGTCGATTCTCCGCCAGCTCCTCTTCTTTCTCGGGCGTACCTATCTGTTTCGCGTCGGCCGCGAAAGATAGTCGGCGGCCGAATAATTCATTTTCGTCGGAAGCTCCACGTCTCCGTTCCACACTGCGCAACATCGCCCAGCGGCGCGTTCTCCGGCACGGCCGTCCGTTTCCGGCCTCGGCGGAAACGCAACCGTAAATCGCGGCCGCTGCAAATGTATGCGCACCCCGAGTAATCAAGTACGTGGTCGCCATCATCTACAGCGGTCGCTCGTAATGAATTTCTAGCTAGCAGAAATATTGTGGGTGTGGTATGGGAAAAAATATGGGAAAAATTAGGATTAAGATATTTCGAGCGTATAATGACTGAAATGATTTTACAAATAATATCGATATCTTCCAACAGAAACTTTTGATAATTTTATATTAAATAAGTATGAAAAGATTAATTAAAAAATTCTGTCACAATCTGATACGGAAATTGATTTGTAGAAAAACTATAATAAAAATTAATAGTTTTCGTATTTGATTCTGGGTTCTAAGTATAAAAGATAACTTTTTTGAATTACAAATTATTGTTTAAATTTTTTTTAATTTAAACTCTTTGATGAGCATATATATGATTTTTCTTTAGCACAAATTTTATTAGATGTCATATTATTTTATAAGATTTTGATGTTTTAAAAAAAGTATCTTTGTGCGATTTAAATTTTATCAAAGAAATTTTTCTCTAAACAAAAAGTTATAGTTACTTCTTTGGTCCCTTTGAACTGTATTATCGATTTATATAGCTAATATGTTCTTTTACCACAGAAAAATCTTTGAAACTGGTTTAGATTTTTATTTTACTTTGAGCTCTCTGAAAAGGAACATAAATGAGAAATTATCCGTCGCTAATAATGAATTATGCAATTATTTTAAAAAGTTATCTTAAATTATTGTTTTCAAGGAACATTAATAACAATTTGAAATATGCTGGTTTAATTTTAATGTCGCGTTAATAAATGTTAAATATTGAACTGCATGATAGTAATTATTTCTATAAAAATATTAACAGAATAATGAATAATTAAACGGTGTTACATATTGTATATATTGTATATAATTACATATTGTATATAATTACAAATGCAAACAACAAATAAAATTTAGAAGATTACTGCTGCTGACAAGCGAACACTGTGTAATTAAGCCAATTGTAATCAAGAAACTAGATTAAATATACATATAATAATATACATAAATGGCTTTTTGTGGAATGTAACAATTTAAACTCTATAATAACATAAATCAAAGAAATGTTCTCATTATATTTATCAACTAATAAAATAATATATTAAATAAAAAATATTTTTACAGTGCTTGCAATAACAATCTTTATGCATAGTATATTTCGTATATTTAATTAAATGTTTAATTAAATTAACTAAATAAACTATGTAATTACTATTTTAATTAATATTTATTTTAATCGCGCGTTGTATAATAATATTATTATATACGGAAAAAAGTGACTTACAATTAGTATTATCAGCTAAATATCAGTAGCTAATTCGAACTTTTCTGTCAATGCTAAATGTTAGTTATTAAAGATAAAATATATTTGTTGCAAGATACAATTTTATTATCTAAGATAAAAGCGTATTTTAACAGGAGTAACTAAGAAAGTGGCATACGGATCGAAAGAATGATTTTGCTGAAAGATTTAAAAGTTTTGCTAGACATTCCTCCAATAGAATTAGCTAAACGTTATTTAATTCTAGCAGCAAATATTTTTTGCCGTAGCGCCTAAATTTTAACAATATAAATTTTAACTATATAAATTGAGCTTTGACAGTAACGATATCAGCTACTCCTATTTTAACGACACATTTTTGCTGCTACGGCTATACTTTAGCTGCGTTGACTAATTCTTTCTCTGCGTGTATTACTGTTATTAATGTAACGGTCGTGGCGCAGAGGGTTGTGCGTCTGCTTTCTGTGCCGGGGTTCCAGATTCAAGTCCGACTAGGAAAATCAAATTTTTATTCGACCGCTCTCGGAAGGCAATGGCAAACCACCGAGAGTATGGCCTTTGTCACTCCTCTAAATTAGGCCGTTCGGAAATCGGCGTTAAAATTGTAGGTCCCGTATATCTGTGTAAATTGTAAATGGCGCACACCACAGAAATTGATAAGAGGTCAGAGGGGAAGACAACCACGCTTCTGACAAATAGCAAAGGAATCGCAAATACTTATTATCTTCGCTTGCTCTGGCTGTATGGCCCCTGATGAGAGCGGTAGTACTACAAGAAGATCATTTGCATCTTTGTTCAATCGCGCATGCGAGAAATCTCTTTAGTTGTAAATCATTGTATATACGTTTCTTTCCCATTACTCTCCGACTACAGTTGTGTGTCCAGTAATGTCATGCAGCAAGTGAAAAAGCGACGGTTTTCTCTTTTTAATTTTGCTTCATAATTAAGGGCACAATTACATTTTTTTTTAATTAACGATCGTGGCGCGAAGAGAGCTGCGCGTCGGCTTTCTGTGCCAAAGACTCTGCAGGTTTAAATCCACCCAGGACAATACAACTCTAAATCGGTTTTAATCGATTTGGAAGAAGTGATTGTCACCTCTCGGAAGGTAAACCATCGAAAGTAACTCTACCGAAAGGAAAGTCTCTTCTAATAGACAGTTCGGAATCGGCGTAAAGCTGTAGATTTTCCATACATCTCCGGATATATGCAGAAGAAATCGCCTACAAGCTGACAAGCATACGGAGAGAATGTTATTAACGTATATAATACTTCTTTATTCAGTATATCTAATTTTTTTTAATATAAATTAATATATGTCAATAAACATACGCGCAATCTTCTAGAATGCGAATTCAAGTAAACAGACTTCCGACAGTCTTTATCGTTAAGTAGAGAACATTGTTGGCGTGAGCCGGATTTATATGTCCTTCATGCATATCCCGAAAATCCAGAGAGATCGAAATACACGAAACGGACTCCGAGACGGTCCTAAGCCACTGAGAAATGGTGCAGCGTACTCAGGAGTTGCACAGTATGAAAGCATAAGATTTCCTGCCGCCTTAAGCGGTTAATGTTTAATCCCAACGCAAATTGAAGTTCCGTTTACACGGCAGTTATGTCAACCGTTGCCACGTCTGCATCCAAAGCTCGGATTTACTCTACGCGCTTTGGCGCTTGCTAGTTTACTAAAGAGTAATCCCCGATTCCAGAAAGCTGCCCTATTACAAACTCCCAAACGTTTCTATGTTTTGAACATCTCTCTTTTGTTTTTAACATTTTTTTTTAAATTTTCCAGTGTCTATTTTAACAACAACAATAGTAATAATAATTTGTATCTCGAGAAAAATATTATAAAACAGTAATTCTATTTCTATTATTGTATAATATATTATTAATTGTTATTTAATAAACGACTTAATTAAAGCTGATCTTTAAACAATTCGTAATATTCTAATCTGATTTTATATAAATTCCTTTGAACGGAGATTTTGTGTTCAAATAAATTAAATTTGATATAATAATTTATTTTTGATTATAGATACAAATTATAACGGATCATTTAAAAAAAAAATTGGTCAACATTTTATTAAATAAATTGTTCTTTCTAGATTTTCATATGCTTATTATTTCAAATTTTTTTTAACGTAAAAGACGGGTCGGAGAATACGATGCTGATAATAGTTCAGTTACTGCTTGCATTAACGAGAAGTTGAAGGTTTTCTTGAATAACTTCTTCATTATGGTAATTGCTCATTTAGGAATTCTGATTTACTTAGTCCTTCCGTACTTCTTCGTAAGTTTGAATAGGTTTAATTTTGCGATGCCGTTACCTCCGAAGGTTTCTGAAAAGTTTCGTGTGACTACTATGGTCACTGTGTATCTTAAAAGTGATTTTAATTTCTGCCATTTATTCTACCATTTAAGCAATATCAAACATTTGTAAAGACAAAAGGGAAAATAGGCAAAATTATTACATTTGCATAATGCATTCTTTTATAAATATATTTACGCAGATTGGTCATACATAATAATAATAAATATGGTAATCATTAATTATTTACTTTTTCAATACTATAAACAATTTAAAATAAAAATAAAAACTGTGAAAAATGGTTTAAATGATTTATTAATTTATAACAATGCCTTTAGAGAAGTGAATGCAAATTTTTCAAATTATGTCGCAGTAATTTTTTAAATTTAATTTTTAGCAACATTATCAAGAGCATACTTAACGTATTCGTTTATAAATTATGATTGTTATTTATTTATTTATCATAAAATATTAAATCATAAAAAAATTAAATCATATTAAATCATATTAAATCATAAAATATTATTTTTGAACAAAATTTATGGAATATTATTGCATATATATGTAGTGATAATTATAATTACAGGTAAAACTGCAAACATTAATAATATAAATATAATTTAAAAATGTAATATAAATAAATTTAAATTAATAATGTAATAAATAAATTCACTTTAAAATGTAATTTAAATCGTTAAAATTGCAATAACCTCCACTATGTCAATCTGTGTATTTGTCATTAGCCGATCGCGGTTTTTTGAAGATTTTGGAAAGAGAGCATTATATTTACGAATAAGCTTTTGCAATTTACGTACAATTACATAATTATAAGAGAATAACATCAGAGCTATGACGATGCCGATCAATGTCACAAAGCTCCAACCTTGCCACGCGTAAAACGCCGCGCGGACGGTACTGACGGCGGTTCTCTTGCACACACCCATTTCGTGAAATTAACGATTTAATTGTCACCACATCGGGCCGATATTTTAATTTTGTCCAGGCAAATAGAAATTTTGTTCGCGCCGCGCCGCGCCGATAAAGCACAATAAACGCTCTGTGCTCGCGATCGTTGTGTATTCGATAAGCAGAAAATTCATTACGTATACGGTAGCACGCGAGCGCGGAAATGAGCCGCGGTGCTGCCACTGTAAATTTTATCGAAATGCGCCGGAACGAAGTGTGCACTCGACTGGGCAGTACCGCGGCGAATGAGCACTGAATAAATCAAGATCTGCCGGAGGGGTTGGGAGAGGGAGGGAGGGAGGTGACAACGAGTTTTACAATTCATCGTCTTCATATTCATATGACCCCCGATCCGGCGCGAGATTTAATGTAATCGATCGATTGTTGAATTTAATGAAAAATTTTACGACGGTATAAGGTAACTATTAGTATGCTTTTATATTTAAATAAGTTATAAAAATAAACTAGTACAAATAAATAGGCAAAGTGTCTTTTTTATTAAGTTAATACTTTAATTTAATTAAAAAAAAACTTTGTCTATTTACTTGTCAGTTTATTTTTATGACTTATTTAAATATAAAAGCACATTAATAGGGACGTACAGGCACACTAATAGGGACAGTTGCCCTATTTACACTTCATAAATAATTGGTTTTCGAACATTTGCTTATCATTTTTATATTTTTAATTTAGGGTAACTCCGATATATACGCCGCGCGAGGATTTACGCCGCAGAAGTCAGAAAAAATAGAAGAAACTAATTTTCTCGCAACCACTCTGTTACATACCTTTATGTCATATAAGTGTTGTGTTATGATTTCAGTTTTTTATTGTTAATATTTATAAAATTATTGTAAGTTAAATCGATTTAACATTGTAATAAGTAGCGCAACCATAGGTTATAATCTATATAAAATGATTATTGTAGGAAATATAAAAGACTTCGTGATTATTTCGTGGTACATATAAGTGTGGGGGAATTGTAAAAGATAGAGTATAACAAAATATAAGTGCTTAGTTCTTTAGATTATTTGTATATTTTTTGAGTCATTTATCTCACCCGTGAGTAGCCGTATAACTCACCCATATTTTTATACGACAAAAATGCAAGAGTTTAAAGAATTTTTTTTTAATATAAAAAATTAATATTTTGGATTCCTAATATTTTTTCATAGTAGTAGACAGTCTAAAGTTTTTATTGGTATAGTTCATTTACCTTAACCATAATTAATAATATCTGATAAATTAAGTTTTTAATAGGTGTGGCGTATATAGCGGAATTACCCTACTATTTTAATTTGTATATTACTGCAAATTCTGATATAATGGGATACGTTTTTATAATACCTAATACCTCTTATCCCGGATGTTCTTTTCTTGCATAGAGGCTTGATTTGAAAAACCGAAAATGCCGGGGACCTTGCTTTCACGTACGGCTTTGATCTCGTCAAATGCCATCGCGAAAGCAATGCACATGGTCCACAACTAATCTTTGTAGTCAGTTGGTTACATTGTGCCTTTGTCGCGCGCGCGCTCACGACGGATAACAAAATGCGCAAAAAAGAGAACGGGTTTTGCGGCCCATATATTCACTGAGGCTGCATATCTCTGGTCACACGGAATGGGCGACGTACAGCGAGAGTGTACCTAGGGGTTGACGCAAGATTGAGTTTTCGTAATTTGAGCGAGAAAATCGCCGAATCAGACATAACATAATTTTTCAGAAGCTGCGACCTTGATATTTAATATTGAGGAAGTCGATCAGAAAATGCCATTAAAAAATTATCCAATTAAATGTTTTTTATTTTTGAATTCAAAAAATATAGGTATTAAAGATAATAACCCTAAAGACACGAAAAATTGTTAAAGTTTATGTTATTTCAAAAGTTTATGATAAATTGTTTAAGTGATTTAACTATAAGTTATAGAAAATCAAATATATATGATGTTCGATATTTATTTAGAATTAAATACTTTATTAGTTTTTATTTACGTGAATTTTTTACTAATTCAAAGCGATCGTTTATTATCGTGTTAACGAAGAACGTATAAAAAATGGAGCATTGTAGAATACATAGTTGAACTTTCGAATTCTGTTGACCAACCGATTTGCTGTTTACATTGTTAATTGGTACGTATTCGATATGTCGCATACAAAAGTGTTGTAAAATATCGTATGAATAAATATTGGAGAGCTGCTGGGGTTTGCTTTGGCTTTGGTTTTGCAGAAATGGCGTATTATCCGTAATAAATATTTGCAATAACGTGCATAATTATTCCCCTCACACGCGGACTTTGTATAAAAATATCGGATCCTCAGGTACCGAATGATGAACGAGTGTTTGAGTTTCAGGCTTAGAAGTGATAAATGCTCATGACTATCTTCTTGCTGTCTGCTAACGTCATTTATCATTTCGCTAGAAAAGAATCACGTTCTTTAGCCGTTCGATCCGACAGATCTCGCGCTTAACGAATTATTAATACGATTTATATTGACACAACGTAATTACTTGCCTAACCCTTTTGAGGTTTCTTGCGTCCCTCTATAAAGAGAAATCTCGTCATCTACTATATGAAAACGGGATTCATTCGTTTCATCTCAGAACGCGAGACACGGATTTAGCCGTTAATAATTTTCAGTACATTAAAATAGATATGTTCATTCCCATCGACTATAAATATTAGATCTCCTATACATATATTCTATATATTAAATATTAAACCTTTAATTCGCAAAATCCTAAAATGCTCTTTATATAATTAACTATATTCTGTATTTTATAGTACTCTCTCCGTTCTCTACGTTCCGCATTGTAAGATAAAATAGATACAGCGAAGTGACGAATTAGACTTAATGCATACAATAGTTGGTGTTATGAATTTTCAATGGGAATAATATTTGCTCGTCGAACTCAATGATTCGAGTTGATGTTAAAGTCGTGAATTAAAGCCGCACGTACGCATATACGCGTCCGTTTTACAACCGAATGGGTGAAGGGAGGGGGGAGGGGAGGGAAGGAGGGATTCATCGGCAGACGGCGGTCCTATTTACGCATCGGAAATTGATTTTGCGCGTTCCGGAAACGAAGTACCGACTGTTGTGATGTATGCGTATACACACGGTACAGTGGGACTCCGCATAAAACGATCTGATTTTGATCCGCTGGTCGGTTGCCGCGATATCTTCGCCGCTGAATTGCCACGTACTCGAAGATTTATGAGCAAACGGCGGCGGCGAGTGCTTTTTCAGAGAGCGGGCTCTGGGATTGAACGGTAACGTCGATGAGACCGTCTATCGGGAGAGAATATCTGGTCGGACGAGTCCAACAAAAAGATTGCGTAAACGGAACGAAAAGTTACGGAACGATCAAGTCGTTCATTTTCAAGGCCCCTCAATTGAACGGTTCGCCATACAAGTTCTTGTTTATACTTTTTGCAAAATGTGCTTAGACTTTTTGAACAAGTTAATCGATTAGCTGTGTGTTACAGCCTTTGAACGGGCGAAAAGCAGGGCATTGTTCGCAAAACTATGATTCAAATATAAATCAGCGTTTATAAATCAGAAGAACAAGAAATATTTTATCGATAAGCGTCTCAGTATTTCGCAGTATCGTAAATTGCAATTTAGTTTGCGACTGAATACAACTGGAAATGCGTGATATAGAATCGAGTTTATGCGCAATAGTCGTTTGTCTGCATCTCGAAATTAACACTCAATTTATAAACGAGCACATAAACAGCTGCCGCACGTGTATTACGGCGCGTTCACAGCTGTCTTCCGGGAACGTCTTCCACGATTCATTGGCCAACGGTCTCGCGCGCAGTTTGCAGTTACAGCGATAAGAACGTGGAACGCGCGTCGCACACGCGATTAGAGGTGTCGCGCGAGGAGAAGGCTTTATCACCGGTTCTCTCTTTCGCGCTCGCACGCGCGGGCTTATTTATCGCGGCATAAATTCGCATCGCGAGACTACTACATGCCGCGGATGCGCGCGCGCGTGGAACGTTATTCTATAAAGCTCGAGGATTTTTGCTTGCGGTGAATGATATACGGGCACGGAGTCGGTCCCGGAGAAAATATCGGATTTGTCGCGATTCGCAAATCCGCGGACCCGCGCCGCGGAAAGCTGCGTCGCAACGATATCCGCACGGGGATTTCGTGAGCGTGGCACGATCGTGACAGCAGCAGCGTCCGATTCGGCAAAGAAACAACATGTATACGGACGTTGAGAGATCGATTGTAAAAGGAAGACTAAAAGAAAAATATGAGACGAAATATATATATGACGCTTGACGGCTTCTCTTATACGCTTCTTTCAGTGATCTCCTTTTAATTAATATATACAAAAAGTCTGATTGGTTTAACAATTTTTTCGTTGCAAGAAATATAATACTGATATATATTTACTTTAATATATTTACTTTATGTGTTTATGAATAAAAGTAAATATTCATTTTAACTCTTTAAATATATGAATCAGTAGAAAAGTCACTGATTGAGTCAGTAACGCCTTGCATCGCTAATGAATAAGTGAAACAGAGCCGAATCCGCTGTGCAATTAGCGAGAACAGCGAAGTGTCCACTGATTTGTCAACGATTATAGCGATAGATCGGAAGAGCACACGTCTGA